TTATGCTGGTTGATTGGGGTCAGTTCCTTTGTTATTCAGCAACCCCCTTTTCCACTCTTGTTGGTTCCCTTCTGAAGTTCCCTTGGGGAATAGCCCCCAAATTCCTATTTCCTTAAATTTAATCATTCCCTCTGAAAAATACGCCCCCCAAACATGCCCACATCAAATTCCTATTACCTGACACAGGGAAGAGACCCCTACAGCTGTAATCAAGGTAAAGATCCTGAGATAAGGGGCTGATCCTGGATAATTGGAGAGAATCGTCCCAAGCAGCCTTCTGACAGAGATGGAGGGCGGCCGCCAACCGCTGCCTGGGGAGGAGGAGCCTGCGTGAAGCTGGAGGCAGAGGCTGGAGTGACTCCGCAGCAGCCACGTCCTCAGCGCCTTCCGAGGGAAAGTGCGACCTCGTGGGTACAAACGCCCGGCCTTCAGAACGGCCAGCAAATACATTTCTGCCATTTTAAGCCATCGAGGTTGTGAGCCCTAAACACTCGGGGATGGAGCAGGAAAAGGAAGCTAGGGGGACATCCAACTGCAAGCAAGGGACCAGCTCAGTGTCCCGAGCAGCGTTCCCTGGGCCTCCCCTCGTACCCGGGAGCAGAGGCCCGCGGTCCTGCCACAAGTCACGCAGCACCTCGCTGGAGAGCAGGGTGCTGGGGCCTGGCCAGTGTTCGCCTTTTCCTCCGTGTCTCGGCGAAGCTACTCAAAACCCTCTCTTCCCCCAGCAGGAAAAGCATATGTTCTTTCCATATAGAGGAGAAGTTCCAGAAGCGAGTAAGCAAGCCTCTTGGCCGCAGGGCCCAGCCAGCCCGAGACGCTCCGGGCAGGAAGCGGGCAGCCTGGGAACCAGACTGGGCTGGCTCCCCGCCCTGGGGACAGCGGACGGGGTGGGGGACAGTGGGGAGCAGGGCCTAGGATGTGCAGGTCAGAATAGAGGGTCCTGTCCCTGGAGAGAAGCCCTTTTCTCCATTCGGGTTGGGCCAGTAGCTGAGGGGGCCGAGAGGAGAAGGTGACTGTCCTGTCCCCTCACTCCTGCTGAGTCAGAGGCTGACTCAGGGGTGCTCTGCGGAGCCGGGCCATTTTTAGACTGTCATTTCCAGCCCCCTCCCCATACTCCTCAATGCCTTCAGAGTTAGGTGGCAGCCGGGACCCTGTCCTTGTGCCTTAGTCCCTTCTGCCGCAGTCACGTGACCGTACACGTCTTCCCAAAGCCAGCCCTGGGCCGGGGGATGCTGCTCTTCCCTTGTCTCAATGCAGCCCTGGTGTTCGTCCCTCCTCAGCTCCATCTGTCAAGAATCCACTGAGGATGGGGCTGGGGAAAGCGGGCAGGGGCCCGGCATAAGGGAGAAATGTTGGATAAATTGGGGCCATTGAACCTGGAGCCTTGGGGTAGAGATGAGAGTCATGACAATTATCTGAAGATGAGTGACAGCTCATCACGTTGATGTGGGTATGGATTTGTCCTGGATGGGAACGTCAGGGGGGTGAGCCCAGCGTGTATAAATCAGGGCCCCAACACTCTGAGGACCGCTTTTGAGACAGTGAATTCATTCCCTGCTGTTGGACACATCCGGGCTGAGGGTGGACGCCCGCCCCCAGCCCCGGCCGAAAGGGGTCAGGTGCCAGGTGGGAGGTGGACTAGAGCTTAGGTCTCAAACTGGTGGCCCGTGGGCCAGGGAGAGCCCTGAAGATGTCCCCACTGGCCAGCCTTTCTGCTGGCCACAGTCCCTGGGGGCTGAGTGCTGCTGCCCAGTGTGGCAAGGGCGCACCCTCATGCCGGTTCTGACGGCCCCTCAGGCGCCGGCGGCTGTGAGCCTTGGAGCAGAGGACCCGACCCCTCTCAGCTTCCTAACCTCTCTAGATTCAGCCTGTGGGGAAGAAGGCAGCAGCTTTCCAGGGGCCCAGGTGGGACCTTGTGGCATGAACTGGGTGCAGACAGAGCTCCTACCTGGCTAGGGACCACCAGTGCACATGCCTCCTCCACCATCACGCAGGCCAGGGTGGTCATCTGCCTGGGAAGGGCAGCTGGGCAGGTGCTCTGAGAACGGAGACACCCCGGTGCAGGAGGGGTGGCCCAGGGAAGGACCCAGCAGCTGTGGGTCTGAAGGAGGGTGGGGTAAGGGATGGAGAGGGGGCTGGAGACTGACCTCGGGAAGCAAAGTGGGGCAGATAAAGGGCTTGGGGGGAGGAGGCAGGAGGCAAGGTGGTGCTCGGAAGCCCAGCTCTGCCTTCTCCCTGGGGGCCTGGGGCGGACGCTGCCTGGCCCTTTTCAGAACTGAGGGGTGACAGAACAGGCCACAGAGCAGCCACTCACAAACATCACCTCCCCTTCCTCCATCCTTGGATGAACCTCCTCAAATGAACCCACACGTGCAGGCGTCGGCTTTACTTCTGTTGGGACCCAGCTAGGTCGGGTCTAGAGGAGCAGCCCAGAGGCAGCACTTTGTTTTTGTTACAGCCAGCAGTGGTGGGTGCTGCTTCTGGGCCTCAGCTGGGCACCTTGCACCTGAGACCTCAGTTCTCCTGTCCGCCCATTGTGTGGATGGGAACACTGAGGCCCTCCGCGTTCGTGCTGACGGTAAAGCCAGTGCTCTCCCTAGAGCACTTTCAATGACTGTGTTCTTCACGCAAGTGTTACTTTTTTCACACTGCTGTGCAGGAGGCAGGGAGCCCATGCTGCCCATTGAGTCCTGGCACCCACCTGGGATTTGGGGTGGGTGCCTCCCCAGGTTTGCTGTGCCCTGGGGGCATCCAAGCACCACAGCCAGAGGCAGGAAGTCGGGTTAGATTTCCTTTGGAGATCCTGGTTCCTTTCTCCTTTCAAGGAAGCCTGGGGCCGTGGAAGGAAACTTTCTGGGAGTTGGAGAACCTGGGTTACCTTCCAGGCCAGGCTGCATCACTGCCCCGGCCCCTCCGGAGCCTCTGCTCAGAGTGGGGGCAGCTGAGAGGCTCCCCGGAGCAGCCCGCGTGCCCATTTTTGCAGACCTAGCCCTCCCACCTCACGCCGGTGTTCCTCGTGCTGGTTCTGCTTCCCTGCTTCCCAGGCACAGCCTGGTGATAGACGGTCCAAGGGCACCACCTGGTGGCCAGTCCCGGGCAGACAAGGTGCCCGCACCTGGTAGCTTTGAAGGTCGGTAAAAATGGCTCAACAGCAGAGGGCCCTGAGAGCGCAGGCTGCACCCCGTCCAGCCTCCCGAAAGTGGGAGGAGCCCTCCAGGTTCCCAGAGGTCAGGGTGCAAACATTGTAAAGCAGTTACAGTGAAAAGCACTCGGGTTTGGGGTCCAACGGGTCTTGGTTTGAATCCCGGCATCCTTGGTCGTACCCGGAGTCCCTCCTCTGGGCAGTGGGGCTCTTTAAGACAGGGGCTGTGACCCTCTCGCCGCATGACGGGCAGCCCAGGGGGATGGCAGGGGGCGAAGCTGGCCCAGAGACAGGAGCTGGCCTGGTGGCCCTCACCCTAGGTCAGTGACACTGAACTGTGGCTGCACATTACAACCACCTGACGCTTAGGCAGTGCTTCCGGAAGCCTGGTCCTGGGCCAGCAGTTTCAGTGTCAACAGGGACCTCGGTAGGAATTCCAGGTCGGGAATCAGACTGAATCAGACGCTCTGGGGATGGGCCCTGCACCCCGCAGGCGACCCTGGGGCCCAGCCAGGGGCGAGAACCCCGCGCTTGGGCTGCTCTGAGAGCACCCAAGGTGATTCGCGTGTCCTAAGAGAAAAACCGTGATTCTGTTGGTAGTGCACCTACCGTGGGACCCAGGCGCGGATTAAAATAACGACTGGCTAGCTGATTCTAACAAACAGGCCCCGCCCTGGGTTGGGCCTTTGGTCCCTCGCACACAGCACTTCCCTTCCTTCTGCTGCTCTCCCTGGGGTCCCCTGGATTCTCGGGTGCTCCAGAGATGAACTGCCAGTTACTGACATTTGGCGGGAGCTTGCGCTCTGACAGGTGGCCTCCGTTTTACAAGTGGAGAAACAGGCGCGGGGAGGCTAAGTAACTCGCCCTACATGGCACAGCTGCCAAACGGCAGAACTGGGGCTCTGACCTAGTTCTCTGGGACTCCAGAGTCCATTGGCTTTGCGTCCTGACTTTACAGATGAGAGGAGGCACCACTCCTGGAAGGTCGCCAGGGGTGACGCCTGCTACACTTCCTGCACCTTTGTTGTGAATCTCATCGTTGCCCTGACACTGTCCCAGGTGGGCCCAGGTAACCAGGTTCTTGGTGATCGCGGACAAAAAATTGAACCGAACACCCAGTGTTAATAGCAGAAAGTGAGAAAAAGCAGATTTATTAAGCCACACAGAACATGGGAGCGGGCCAACTCTCAGTTTGGAGCGGAGCAGAGCCTAACAGCAGCCACCGCAGCTCCAAACGCAGGGGCTAGAGGGCTTTTATTCCTTAGGGTGGGTTTTCCCGTGATTTCCTTGACTGGCTCCTGGGAAGGGGGTCCCGCAATGCTAAGTTATTACAATGCTATTGCAATGAAGCAGGGCTCCGGTAGCATCTTCTGCACGGGTGCATTCCTGATTCACTAGGATTCAGTGCTTTTCCAGATACAAAAACTACCAGTCCTAGAGCAGGGTGTCTGCCCTTTATCCATGTTCTTTATCTTATTCCTGGGGCACCTCTGGAGTTTCATGCTTCCTCACTTTACAGATGAGAGGAGGCACCACTCCTGGAAGGCCGGCAGGGGTGACGCCCGCTACGCTCCCTGCACCTGTGTTGTGAATCTCACTGTTGCCCTGATACCAGTTCCAAGATGGGATGGATGGACCCTTGAGCCCAGTGCCACCCCCAGGAAATAATGCCGTCCCGCTGGCATGGAAGCAGCTGGCCGAGGGAGGCAGTGGCAGGGGTTGTTAACAAAGTCACATGACCCACAGGATTCAAGATATTGAGGAAATTGACACTTGTCCCCCATGCCTGACTTGAGGGATCGTTGCCCTGTCAGCCCCACGCAGACTGGGCCCCGCCCACCCCACCCCACGCCCTGGCTCAGAGAGAAGAAGGGAAGAGACAAGAAGAGGACTGATGGTGGCATAGAGAAAATAGAGAAGCATTTTACTGCTAAAGATGCATTTTCAAAAAGCGAGAGAGTTCCTGTCCTGAAGAAGCAAAGACTTTTGGCCCCCGGAGAAGGGGCTGCATCGAGCTGACCTGGCTGCGCCCTGTGCACAGCCCTCAGCAGCAGCGCTGGAGCCTCCGGGACAGTTGATAGAGCTCCATGGTTGCCCTGGCGTCTTCCACCGAGCTGTGTCCGGACAGGCTGTTCTGCAGACACACAGGAGATGGGGACTTGGGGTGGGGCTGGATGCAGCCCCACCCCATGACCGTCCTTCCCTGCTCACACCCCGACTGCCAGGGCCCCAGGGCGGGTCTGGGGGCTGAGCCTCCCCAGGACTCCAAAGGCTTGGGCTCAGCAGGTGGCTGGCACAGTCCCGGCTTCACCCTGTAGCCACTTGTAGCCTGAGGCCCGGACGTGGCTGAGCCCTCAAGGCCAATAGGGATAATGCACACGTGCTACTGCACACAGAGCGGCTGGAGCAGCTCTGCAGGGCGCACCTGGGCACCACCGCCACTTGCCCAGCAAGCTGAGAAGGTGTTTGTTATTCAGCGAGCTGATGTGCTGGCCTATCTGGCCTTCCTCGTGTGTCCCTCAAGACTAACAGGGGCCCAAAATCCTCCTGCTTCCTACATGGTCCCGGCTCCCCAGCCAAGCAGGCGGGGTCTTGTCTGTCCCTTCCCTCACCCGTCTCCTGCTCTCCTCCACCAACAGCCACGGCTCAGACTCCATCCAAATCTGGTCTCCCATCTGGCCACCCACGTGTCACCCCTGCTCCCAGGACACCAGCCCTTCCTTCCATGGGACGCTCCCCATGGTGTGTGCTGATTACCCAGTTAGGGGCCACCTGCATTGACTCAAGGGCTCCTCACGGACAGGGCCTTGCTCACCTGATGTCCTCAGCACCTCGTTCAGCCCGGCCCAGTGTAGGTGCATAATAAATACCTGCTGACCTCACAAAAGTACACAGCCCCTCGGGGAGCCAGAGCATCTCTGGGGTCAAATATGTGCTCTGTTGCCGCTGGTGGGGTTTAGAGTCTTGGAGGGAAGGGCCAGGCCAGCAGAGCAGACCCTCCCAGCGATGGGCCGGCTTTTTGGCCTGCTGCCGGGCGGGGAGGGAGCCTCACCTGGATGCTCCGCCCGAGGAGGCGCTCGCAGAGCACGCGGAGGGAGACGCGCCTGCAGTGCAGGACCTTGGCTTTGGCCCACAACACCATGTCCATGGCCGTGTCGTAGATGGTGTACTTGCTCATGTTCTCCTTCAGGGCTGCGAAGTCGTGCTTCAGGTCGTGCCCCACCACCAGCTTGTCTTTCAGGAGCTGCAGGATCTGGCCAGGGAGACATGCGCCCCACACATCATCCATGTCCTCCGGGTGGGCCCGGGGCGAATTGGTGCTGTTGTGAGCTGGCGGGGAGCAGCCCCTCCTTGGCTCGCTATGTGACCTTGGGCAAAGCACTACCCCTCTCTGAACTTCAAATGCATCATCTACGAAATGAGAAGACTGGACCAAGTCCCTCCTCACCCTTGCTAGTTTAGGTCTGTGCCGCAGGCCCATCTGATTCCTTCAGGGGTTTTGGTGTGGAATAGCAATGTATGAAATATAAATATAGAAAAATAAATACAGGTCTCTGTTGCCGGTTCCTGACACAGAGCTCCTTAAACTCTTGCCATTTCCTGGGTGGCAGGTGTGTCTTTGTTCTAATGAGGCACCTCTGGGTGGGCCCCTGGCTGGGGGCTGGTCTCTAGAAAGACCAAGTCATGGTTGGAAGCTGGGGATATTCAGCTCCTCCCCTCATCCCCTTGAAAGGACTTCTGAACTGCAAAACTGCAAGATGGCAAATTAGTGTCGTTTTCAGCCACTACGTTTATGGTTCTGCGACAGCAGCTATAGAAAACTAATAACGCAGCTAGCTAGGAGGGAGGCCTGTCCTGAACGGAATTTTGCAAACGGAGAAAAACCGGAGCACCAAGGAGGGAAGTCATCTAGGCGGCGTTACTTGGGTGATTTCAAAAAGAGGTTTGCAGCTTTCTTGACACTCATCTCACAATAGCTGGAGCCCAGCTGCCCGGCCGCCTCGCATACGGGCCGACCTGCTTGACTTCTCCACGGGGCCAGCATCCCTGGATCCCTGGGCTACCCCCATGCCTGGTGAGACCACATTCAGATGGAAAGACAGGCCTGAGGCGCCCCCGTGCCAGACGCCAGACAAGTGGGTGAGCAACGCGCCCAAGGATTCCAGCCTTTGGCCTGCAGGACGCCTCCACTGACCGGTTGTCCCCGTCTGCCAAGCCCTGCCCAGATTGCAGGTACATGAGCAAAATAAGCACTGACATTATTTGAGTCACTAGGTTTTGGGGTGATGCACTAAGCACCATCAGAGAAGTGGGACATGCACACAGCTGGTAGCAGAAACAGCTTTCAAAGCCACCCCCAGGCTCTGCAGAAAGAGCAGGCCTGCTCTGGGCCTCCGCCAGCCACGCGACCGAACTGCCAGGAGCGACCCGAGAGCACCCGTGGCCCGGCGCCCGGCACCGGGGCGTTCTCGCCTCCTCTCCCAGGGCGGGTGGCCCTGCAGAGAGCCTGCCTCTGCCCACACGGGCCAGTCCCCTTCATTTTCCAAGGCTGCCATTAGAGAGGATGGGGAGAGGGAAGGGGCAAGAAATACACCTGGGACAGCTCATGGCTCTCTCGGGCCCCTTGTGGAAGCTCTCGGACGGCCTGCGTCCCTCCCTCCCAGGACCGCAGCCTGTGCGCTCGGACAGCTAGCACCCGCCTGTCCTGTTCAGCCTCCCTGGACTCCTTGTGGGGCCTTTGATATGCTCTCCCTTGGAGACCCATTAGAAAAAGCTGGGGCTCAGAGCTTTGAGGTGACTTATTTGCGAGGGGCGAGGTCTGTCCATCTACCATCGACAGACGTCACACACCTTCCCTTCTCGTGGTTTCATCAGGGCCTCCTCTGGACAGAGCCCGCGCTGGGGCTTGGGGCTCACCTGGGGCATCTCACTGAAATCTGCATTTGGGCTCTGGATCCTGGATTTCTAACAGGCAGTGCAGAGCCCTGTGGGCGGAGCAGGGGTGCTGGCCAGCACCCGAGAAAGCCCATAGTACGTGAGGGAACGGGGAAGCGTGCCTGGCTCTGGCTCATGTGCCTTTTCCCGCTGACATTCTTGATGCTTGCAAACAATGCGGTCTGTTTTCCTTACTAGAAGCTGGCGTAGGCCCAGCTCACACGCAGCCCTGAGGGAACTGTCTGTCATTCGGTGGTCACGGTCCCAGATGTACGAGGGCCAAGTCATCCCAAGTCACTGTGGGGTGGATTGCCGGGAAATTCACCACTTCCCGAGCCTGGGGGTCCCTGGGGCCAGTGAGGGGGGCTGCATTTAGCACCACAGGAGACACATATAATGGGGGGAGGTAGACATGCAGAGGAAGGAAGAGGAAGCGGCGGCAGGTGGAGAACAGTCTGCATAGCCCGGAGATGGCAGCAGCCCTTCAGGATGAGGATGCTGGGCACGGGCCGGGGAAGGCGGCCAGCGCTGGTTGTGTGGTCCCAGGGAGGTTAAAGACTGTCTCTGGGCTTCGATCCCCCCACTGGTGAGATGAGGACCAGTTAGCAGCCGGGGCTTCACTGGCTTCCTGAGGCAGGGCTGGGGGCAGTGGTACCTGCAGAGAGGGAGGTGGGGAAGCACCAGCCAGCAGGACCCTGGCTGTGGGACCTCTCCTGAGTCAGTACAATTGAGGCAAGTGCCTCATTTCTCTAAAGAAACCTTACAGGCGGGGGGCGGGGCGGGGGAGACGTTCAAATTCCTGGAAAGAACTGTAGAGGGGAGGGGGAAGGTACTTTCCTCACTTCGTCATGAGGGCTCTCAACAAAAATATTCTTAGTTGCACTTCGCACAGGATGGGGCCAGGGATCACAGAGGTTACGAGGCGGGGTGCCTGGGTCCCACAGCTGGAGAGTTAAGAGCTGAGAGGCTGTGTCTGCATCCGCCCCACTCTGTCCCTGCTATTAGAGTGTTATTCTCACCCCCTCGCGAGAACCCAGGGACCCCGGTAGCTTCAGGGAGTTTGCAGCTGAGGGCGCTCAGCGAAGGCCCCTCGAACCAGGAGCACAGCCTCTGGAAGGCTTTCGGTTTCCAACAGAGGGCGGGGCCGCAGAGGGGCGTGTCCGCGGGTCCCGCGGCAGGGGAGCGACGGGCCCTGGGGTCTGCCCGCGTTCGCCTTCCCCTGGGTGTTGCTCTAGTTCCGAGCTTGGTCCACATCAAGAAAGTCACCTGGGGCCCTGGCTAACAATCCAGAGGGCGGGTCCGTACTCTAGAATCTACCGAAACGAAACCGTAGGGCGTTCCAGGGGGTCGTGGGTGTTGGAGGAATGTGGCCGTCTCTGCACCGGAGCCTGTGGGGCAGCCAGAGCTGCTGCTTCCATCACGCCTCCGCCCTTCCCTTTGTTCATTCATGTCCCCGTTTGTTCATTCCTGGCTGCCAGGAGAGGTGGCTGTAAAGGACTCTAAAGAATGTTGTCCTTCCGGCCCTGGCCAGTGTGGCTCGGTTGGTTGAAGCATCGTCCCGTAAACTGAAAGGTCGCAGGTTCAATTCCCTGTCAAGGCACATTCTTGGGTTGCGGGTTTGATCCCTGGCCGGGGCATGCGGGAGGCAACTGATTGATGTTTCTCTCTCACATTGATGTTTCTCTGCCTCTCTCCCCATCCCTTCCCCTCTCTGTAAAATCAATATGCACGTCCTCAGGTGAGGATTAAACAAAAAAAAAAAACGTTGTCCCTGTGGAGGCCCAGGTGCCCTACTGTCATCTTCAGGAGGGGGCCCCGTCCCCCTCTGTCCTCCTGTCCTGTCTGCTGCCCCCAGCTTCTGCCGTCTTCCCACAAGGCAGCCTACCCTGGGGGACATGGATGGTGACGTCGCCCTCCATCTGGCCGAGCCCCAGAGGCACCTGCCTGGGGACGGGGCCCTAGTCAGGCAACCCCCCACCCCCCGAGACAGGGGCTGCTGTGCTGGTTACAGATGAAATAGCTTCCTGCCCGCGAGCGCCTGTGACCTCCCTTCTGTCTGCGTTTCCCTCCTACACCCGAGGCTTCACAAGAGCTGGTTTCCTTGTTTGCAACCTGCAAATGCAGTTGTCCCTTGCAAACCCCATCGTGCATGGGGTAGATGCTGCCCGCAGACTGGGCTACCATCGAAAGAGCAGTCACTGACAGAGGCGGGTTAGAAGCCATTAAAAATTACTCTTAGGAAAAAACGAAAGCGAGAAAAAGATCCTTAATCTGCCAGGTGAGAGCCCTGAATCTGGGTACTAAGCTATATCCCAGGTTGCTGTGTGTCCTCAGGCAAGTCACTGCCCCTCTCTGGACCTCAGTCTCCCCATGAGTTCCTTCTTGAGTTGACAGTCTGCTTTGGGGGAGGGGCGTCCTACAGGACTTCTGTCCTCTGGCCGGGGCCTGCCAGACGGTAGGATGTCTAGGGGCAGGGGTGCAGGGTGAGCGGAGGTCTGGCTGACCCACAGGCGGGTCATGGCTGAGCTGAGAGAGGAGGCAGGCGAGGTGGGTAGGTTGAGTGCTGGGCGAGGAGGACCTTGGGTCTGGGGAGCCCTGGGGAGCGATGGAACAGGGGGTGGGGAGGTTGTGATCTGAGCCAGGCCTGGGGAGGTTTTCTGGCTGCAGGGAAGGGAGATCGGCGACCAGCGGGCAGAAAATGCGGGTCAGTGGCTAAGACCGCGGTCTCGGAGGGTTGGAGAGAGGGCTCGGAGGGGTCCTCTGGGTTTCTGCCCTTCTCTCTCCACGGGCACATGAGTGACCGTCACTGCATCCAACCTACACGGGACCAGGGCGGGAAGGCATCAGCCCTTCCCTTTCACTGGTGAGGAAACAGGCTCAGGAAGGGCCCACAACCTGCCGAAGCTCATAGCCCAGTAAGTGACCGAGCAGGAAGTGTGAACCTCAGATGCGGTTCAAAAGACCCACATGGCGTTCAGATCCTGGCCTCTCCTCGGATGACGAAGTGCCGACTCGGGTCACAGCGTCATGCCCCTCCCGAAAAGCGCCGGGCCTGGCACACCCTCCGACGGAGAAGCCAGGGCATTTCCGCACCAGGTGCAGGCGGGCAGTGGGGTGTCCCGGCGCCCAGGCCATGTCTGGGGGTTGCCTGACCACCCAGGTCCAGATGTGAGAAGCATTCTCTGCTGCCTCCCGTCGCCCTGCTCTGGGCTCTCTGCCCTTTTGGCCGCTCTGACGGGGAGGGAGGTTGGGGGAGGGGGGAGGACAGGGTCCTGCCGCCCCCCACGCTGCTCAGGGGAGATCTGAGTGGACGGAGCGCCTCCTGGTGCCCCGGGACCTCCGTCGTCTTCACACGGCTGTCCCGTCCGCCTTGTCCTGACATTTCCTTCTCGCCAGCCCTGCTGATGGCCCAGCCCCTCAGCGGCTCCCTAGGGGCTCTCACTCTCCTCGCCATCGCCCTCCCTTCCTCACCCCCATCTGCCTTCCACAGCCCTGGCCCCCCGCCCCGCGCCGCGCCGTTGTAGCCCTCATGAAACTGGCTTTGATCCTGCCCTGGTCCCGCCCGAGACTCGTCAGTGGCTCTTCGTGGCCCCACTCAGCTGCGGACACAGACTCCCCCCGCCCCTTGCAACAGCCCCAGCCTCATGGAGTCTTTCCAGAACCACCAGGATGTGCTGGGCTCTCCCTTGCCCCCCCCCCCCGCAGGGCTCCCCAGCTCCCTCTTAGCACCTCCAGATCACTGCTGCCCAATAGAAATGTGACAGCAGCCACCTAAAGACTTTTAAGTCATCTCATAGCCATGTTTAAAAAGGTAAAAAGAAATAGGTCAAATTAGTTTTAATATGTTTTATTTACCCTAATATATCCAAAATATTAGCGTCTCAACATGTCATTGATACAAAAAATGACGCGGTACTTTACGATCTTTAAAAAATTTTTTCTTTTTTATCCTCACCCGAGGACATTTTTTAATTGCTTTAGAGAAAGAGAGGAAGGGAGAGAGAAACATTGATATGAGAGAGGGGAGCAGCGATTGGTTGCCTCCCGTACATCCCCAGTTGGGGGCCAGAACCTGAAACCTAGGTATGTGCCCTGACGGGGAATCGAACCCACAACCCTTGGATACGGGACAATGCTGCAGCCCACTGAGCTACGCCGGCCAGGGGTTATGATTTTTTTTTTAATTGGTCTTTGAAATCCAGTGGGTGTTTTATACCTACAGCACTTGCCAGTTCAGACCAGCTGTGTTCCAGGGGCTCCCTGCCACACATGGCTGGTGACACCCTGTTGGCACATGGCTCTAGAGTTTTGAAAACTGGCCCGCTGTTTCCCCTTCTATTTTCTGAACTTGTGCAAGCTCTCTAGTGTGATGGGCTGAATTGTGCAACCGTCACCTGACCCGCCATATTCATTTGTGGAGAGCCCTACTCCTCAAAATGTGATTTATTTGGAATAAGGGTCTTTGCTGATGTAATTAGGGGGGGCCCTAGTCCAAGTGACTAGCGTTTTTAAAAAGAGGGGCAATGTGGGCGCAGAGACACACCCAGGGAGACCACCACGTGAACACAGAGGCAGAGATGGAGGAGAGACACCTGCCAGGAGCACCGAGCGTTGCCAGCAGGCCTCCAGAAGCTGGCGGGGGCGCGGACCTAGAAACAGATCCTCCCCCACGGTACTGACAAGGAGCCATCCCCGCCGACACCTTGATCTTGGCCCTGTAGCCTTCAGAGCCGCGAGACAATCCGCTTCTGCTGTCTAAGCCACCCGCTCTGCGGCACTTTGTGACAAGGGCCCTAGCCAACCAATAAATCCTCTGAGCTCAGGCCAGCCTCCATGTCCTCGTCCATCACACGGGGAAACGGGACACACAGCCTTGGTAGCTACCGTGAGTCCTTAGAGAACCGCTCTCCCCTGGCCCTTTCTCAAGCCTTGTGAGGACCCTGTGAAATTATCACCCTCTCCGTGTTCTATGGGTGTGGGAACGGGGCACTGAGGGAGGCTGAGTAACTCGCGCCCGGTAAGTTAGCGGGTGACGGGCGGGCCGGGATTCAAACCCGTGTTACTCCTGAGAGCCCTCCTGGCCTGGCGGCTGAATGAGCCTGGGGACTGAGTGCTAGAATGGCCTCCAGCCAGGGCGCAGTAAACAGCCGCTCTCGTCGAGGTTCCAGCTCACACCCGGCGGGCGGCGGGCGGGCGGCGGGTGTGGGAGCCTGTGAGATGCTGTGAAAAACCTCAGTCCTCTTTGTTGTGCTCGGGTTTCTCCACGCCCCACTGGCCCAGAAACCAATGAGGGCGCTTGCCCTTCTAAACTTTCCCAGAAGTGACTAACCTGGGGCCACCTTTAGAGTGGTTGAGTTTGCTTCCTATTTGGTAATTCAGAGAAACAGAACGCGAAGCCTGGGGAAACTGTCACAGAAGGCTGAAGGAGGGGCGGGGGCAGCGCAGACCACAGACTGCCGGACAGCCTGCCTTCCGTGGGTCCGGGAGCGAGCACTCCCCTTGGCCCAGAGGGCTCTGGCCGGATCTCCAAACCGGCCAAGGGCGCAGCCCCGGAGGGCCTTTGCCAGGACCCGCTCCTCGCTTCCCCGCGGGGCTCACCAGTGGCAGCCCGGTGTGGAAGGAAGAGCAGGGAGTTCAGCCCCCAAATCAGCTGGGGAACATCAGGCGGACCAGAAGCCCTGAAGGCTGCTCCCTGGTGGGCGTCTGTGGCTCTCTGGTGTCAGGGAGCCTTCCTTCTCAGGGATGTGATGGAGACACCAACCAGCTTCTCCACCCCCTGGGATTCTCCACGCGGGGGTGGCAGGGAATCTTAGGCCTCTGGGGACACCGGTCACGGATCTGGCCCTTGGGGAAGGCGCCAGGAAGTGTGTATGTGGCGGGTGTGTCCACGGCCCCCTGGGCCCGGCTGGCCCATGCGTCTCACTCACCTCCCACCTGGCCACGGCGAAGGGCGTAGCCCTGTCCATGTGCTGGGGTGTGATCCCGCTGACGCGCGTTCGGTAGTCGGTGATCTCCCCCTCAGGCCGGATGAACTTGTCATACAGCACTGAGCCGTCGTGGTTGACAAGGCTGCACCGGGCCAGGCCGCTCTCCCGGTGGGGCCCAACCCCCACCATCTCGCAGTCCATGGCCACCGCCTCCAAGCCGCTCGCCATGCCTCGCGGGGTGCTCAGCTGCGCTGGAGGGCGGACGGCAGGAAAGGCATCGCGTGAGGGCCCGCCAGGGCTCTGGGCACCGCGGCCACCACCCTGCCAGCCAGCGCCCTCTGCCCTGCTCCTGTCACAGCACCACCTCGCAAAAGGATGTTGGCCTCTTGCCACCCTGCTGGCTTCCCAGCCTGGTGCTCCCAGGGCTGCCAGTCCTGCTTGGCAGCCTCAGGACCAGGAGACCACCTGCCCTGGCTGGCCCGCCACCACCCCCCGGGACCTGCCCTGAAGCCATGACCCCGGCCCCCACCTTCACCGGTTTGCCTCCTGTGCCCTTGTCTCACGTCTGCCTCTCTGGTGCCACTTCTCAGCCACTGCAGTTGCTCTTAGCAGTGACTCATCTGTGACTTCAAGACGGGAAACCTGGCCCTGCTTTAGTTTCAGTTTTGTTTTTCAAGTGAAATCAGGGGCAGGAGGCCGGAACATGGGTTCCTTGCCCCACCTCCTAGTGGTAGGTAGGGAAGATCGGTGGCCTGAGTCTCAACGGACAAGGAAAGCAGGCGCCGTGGCTGGCTGTCCTGCCCTTGCCCCTGTCTTCCACCTCATCGCTCAGAGGACACCTCTGACGTGGACAGAGTGGATTGCGACATCTTTCTTTCCTTTCTCACTCTCCACCCACTGAGTAAACAGAGCTCAGGGAAGGTCCCACAGCTTCCAGGTCACCACCGAACTCACAGTCCCAGGGGGTTTTTATGGGGCAGGGGGAGCTGGTTCTTGGGACATTGAGGCTCTCAATGGGGAATGGCAGGAGGTTGAGGAGAGGGAGGGACTTGCGCCCACCCCGGCCCAGGGAAGACAAGGAGGCAGGGTCGGAGCCCTTCCAGCCTCCGTTCCTTCGGGGTGCCTCCCTCACAGGGCTCTGCCTCGGGTTGGGTTGACACTGTTGGGGGACAAAGAGAAGCAGGCTTGGAGGGAGCCCCACACAGCCCAGCCCTACTTCCTTTTGATTGCTCTCTCCCAGACTGGAACATGGACCTCTTAGAATGGTACCGGGCACATAGAAAGGAGCGCTCAGTATTTGTTGAATACGTGAATGAGTTACAACTAGGATAGAAACAGATTCGGCTTCCATGGACCATGACGAGTTTCCACAACACGTCGGGAGCCCCCTATCTTCCTTCCTCCCCTAGATCTGTGCAGAATAAGCCCTGAGCTGTGGGATTTGTAGCTTGGAAAGGAATTTCCCCAAGCCCCTGGTATTCTGGCTGAGAGACATCCGACTTGAACAGACCTCCAGAGCAAAACCGAGTACTGAAATGGGTCTCAACTGTGAGGCCTTGTTTCAGTCTGTTGCTCAACTGGTTCAAATTTGCGGTTTCAGAGATTATTTTGAGTCCCCACTTGAATGAGCAAACCTTACTTGAATTCAGACTCTTTTGGGGACTTTTTGTTTTTCAACAGCATAAAGGATTGTTACCCTGATATAGAAGGAGGTAAAGCATAATTCCTCTCACTTTTTTACTTCATGTGCGTTGAAAATGTAAGCCCCCTAATGCTCTAGTGGGAGGTGTTGTTTCTGCTGCCCCCGCAGGACCCCACGCACCCCCGGAGACCCGCACACAGCAATGCCCGCCAGACCACCCCTTCCCCGCTCACCTGCCGCCCCTCCCATTCTTGTCCCCGCGGGTCCTTTGCTTGGTTCCAAATCTGCATCTCTAAGTCCTCCCTGCTTTTTTCCTGCGCTCCACAGGCTGCGCCCACCCAGCCCGCACCTGCCCCCGTCGGCTCCCCATTTTCTCACCTCCATCTCCATGCCCTGCTGGAAAATGCCCCTCCCATCCTAACAGAGTACTTTTTCCCAAATTCTAATCTTTTGCACTGTTTGTCACAGTGATTTCCCACTGTCCAAAAAAAAAAAAAAAAAAAAAAGAGGCAAACCTCACTTCTTGTGCAGTTTCCAAAACACTCTTTTCATCTGTCCCACCAGCCTTTCCAATGTCCTGGGCATTTTTCGGACTTGAGGCCTCTGTTTTAGGCTTAACCCTAAATCCAAGGCCGTTGTGTATTCCCATGGTGACCCCTTCCAATCCGGCACAGGCCCTCTGGCCTCCTTCAGAACAAGGGTGTCTCCTGAATTCGCAGTCGAGGACTGCAGGGCCCCAGCGCTGGCCGGGGGGGTCAGGCCTCGGCCTTCTCATGGAAGAGTCAGGGTGCTGCAGAGCGCGGCCCCTCCCCGACACGTTCACCGCCCTCTCCTCTCACTCCCTTCCACTGCACTGGCTTTTCCTGTTCCCCAGGGCCTGGGCATTTGCTGTCCTGTCTGGAAAACTATTCCTTCAGGTTATCCAGTTTGCTCCCTCTGGTCTCCCACTGAGTCCTTTCTTGGCCTCTATTAAACTGCATCTGCCACCCTCTCCTTGAGCTTCATCTGTAGGAATCCGCACTATTTGGAAGACCACGTATTTTGCTTGTTCATTTAGTTTCCCCTCCCGCTTGCTTGGTTCGCTGTGGGAAACCCCCTGGCACCTAGAATCCCACCTGAGTCATATTGAGCTTTTGCAAATGTATATCACGCTCTGGGGTTGGGCGTGGGCACTGGCGATTAACAGGGTCCAGGGAGGAATCCTTACCCCGGGTTCCAAGGTTTGATCGGTGTCACCCATGGCCAGACCAAGCCCACAGGTCTCGCGGGGTCAGGTGACGGCTGGTGAGTCGCTCAGGGCAGACCTCTCGGCCTTACCCGACAGGCATCCTGGCACGGTTGGCCTGCCTCTTGTGACAGTAGCAGATATGGGGGTGGCCACCATGTGGCCTTCTCTGAACACCTGGCACCGAGCGCAGGGTGTGGGCCAAGTGGGTGGCTCGTAAATGGCGGGCTGGACGACGCCAGCCCAGAAAATAACAAGTGTTGGTGAGGATGTGAAGAAGTCACAACCTTTGGGTCCTGTGGGTGGGAATGTAAAATGGTGCAGCCACTACGGAAAAACAGGTCCTCAAAAAGCTGAACAGACTCGCCAGCATCCAACACTTCCATTTCCGGGTACGCAGCAGTCCTTGTTATCCTGGGGGATCCATTCCAAGACCCTGAGTGGGAACCTGAAACCAGGATAGTACCGAGCCTTAATCCACTTTTTCGTCGGCAGACAGCTTTTTGTGTTTTTCAGGGCAAACCTGCTCCCGAGCCCATGTGACCATCCCTTACTTGTCGCTCACTTCAGCAGAGCCCTGGCTGAGGTCCCCGTGCGGGCTCAAGGCTTCTCACACCACGCAGTGCAGTGAATCAGGACGTTTTCTGCTCCTGTCTCCCACCCACACGTTTAATGTCTTCCATCTTAACTGCCACGCATCACGCGCTGTGGCCATAACTTCTGCAGCTTGTGGTGTGACAGCAAAAGTACCAGGGTTTTTTTTCCTGCTTCACAATTTCACGGGTGGAAGATTTCGTTTTTAACCTAGATCTTAGCAACCTCAATATACTTTTTTTTTTTATTTCCTAAGAACTTTCACCTTTTCGCTTAAAGGAAGTGCTCTATGGCTTCTCTTTGGTGTATCTGAATGGCTAATATCACCACTCTTGTACTTTGGGATCATTAAATAAAATAAGGGTTATTTGATACAGTTGATCTAATAACAGAGGCTGTTGCGTGACTAATGGGAGGGGAGTGTCTACAGGGCAGACACTGGACAGCGGGATGAGTCACATCCCAGGTGGGAGGGAACAAGACAGAATGCGGTGTCACCATACTACTCAGAAGGGCATTCAATCCAAAACTTGTGAATTATTTCTGGAATTCCCTACTCACTATCTTTAGAATGCATTTGCCTGAAAGGCAACCTCAGGTGAGGGGGGACTTACCCAAAAGAATTCAAAGCAGGATCCCACAGAGATTTGCACACCCCTGTTCATAGCGGCATTAGTCACAACCACCAAGAGGGTGCAGCAACCCCAGTGCCCGCCAGGGATGAAGGGACAAACACGACGCGGCGGGTCTGTCCGGACGGGTATCGTTCAGGCTGACCAAGGGAGGAAGTCTGACCCGAACTGCAGCGTGGGTTTGCTCTGAGGACATGATGCTACGGGGAACAAGCGATCCCAAGAAGGCCGAGGCGGTGGGAGCCTCCTTACAGGAGACACCTGGTCACACTCACAGACACAGAAAGAGGGTGGTGCTTGCCAGGCACGGACGGGAAGAAGGAAGGAATGGGCAGGCGTTGTTCAATGAGTGCAGTTTCAGTCTTGCAAGATAAAAACAATTCTGGAGATCAGTGTGAATGTACTAGCGCTACACTTAAAAATGGTTAAGGTGGTAAATTTTATGGTGTGTACTTTACAATGAAAACTAAAAAAAAAATTTCTTTTAAGAGTAAAAAAAGTGAATTCATACCTTCAAGGGAGAGAAACAGTTACATAAACTTATGCTCTGTAACAGGGCAGTTATAACATGCTTATTATATGTGTATTATATAAATCTTGTAGCTCTAACATTTTCTTGCCACCTCTCAAAGCATCACTTTGAAAGCTGCCCACCTCAAAGACCAAAGCGCCCAGCAGGACCCAGGGCCCCCAACCCTGACTTGAAGACTCATAGAAGAGGCTGCTTCACCCACTCTCCCAATCTTTTTATTCCAGAACAGTTTTTACAGCAACGCTGCTTTAGAACCCAGGCCAAGTCCAGAACATTGTTACAGCTTCGTCTTCCTTCTACCCACAGAGAAAAGAATAGAAGCTGCCACCCAGCTGTGCGTCTGGCGTCAGCCGGACTTCTAAGGAACCCGGAACAGAGCGCTGGAGCTGGGCCAGCAGTGGTCAGCGACTGTGCCAGCTCCCTGCTCTGCCGACAGGGACACAGTTGGTGACGGAACAGCCTGTGGCCCTGGGTTCACAGTGGTGTGGCTTCTGTGGTGTCTTTCCCTTCCTGGCCCTGCTGCTTTGCTCAGACTGATGTGAGAAACCGCCGTCACCTCCACACACAGCAGAGGGACACAGAGTACGACCGGGCAACACGCTGTGGAGAACGGCGAGTACACTGAACTTCCGTGCGGTGTCCTCCCCACAGGCCTGTGCCTCATTTGCTGGGACAGCACACAAGGACAGCACTGCCTGGGCCAAACTCCCTCGCCCTGGAGAGTGTTCAGGTGTTACTCGGAAGAGGCCGGAACAGGTCCTTCAAGAGAAACAGCAGCTCACATGGACCAGGACTTACTATGTGCCAGGCACTGTGCTGAGTGCTAGTGTTTCATCCTCCTAACAACCCTGAGAGGTAGGTCACATCGCTGTCCCCATTTAGTGGATGAGGGAACAGGCTCAAGAGTGAAGTCACATAGGTACCTAAGGTCTCAAAGCTATTATGTGACAAGGACAAGAGAATACGGGGCTCAAAGGCCTGTTTGACCTGAGATTTTGGTTACCCCAGTACCCCCAAACTGCCCCTTAGGAAACAAGAAAAGTGGGGTGGGGGTGAAATCCTGACAGACAACTTTAGAAATGTGGAGAAAATCCAGCCATCACAGTATCAATCAAAGTGCCTGACTGCCAAGGGCAGGCACGCGGCACACCTGCCGATGCCCCAGCCCCAGCAGACACGCAGGCTCTGCTCCCTGGTGGCCTTGCTCCTAATAAATAAATAAAGGTCCCTTGGGTGCAATTGGGCACAGAGGTCCTAGATCTCAAACTGCTGTCCTGGTTTGCAGGTGTTTGCTTAAGAGTGGAGTGGAGTGGGCAGGACACGCCTGATTTGGTCCCCACCCAAGGCGTATCCACTCTCCCTGCTCCCTAACAGTGGCTGGTGCTCTCGCTGCCAGGTGTGCGAGGGACAGTTCCCCAGGAGCCTGTAGGCTCTGCTGTCCCCTCAGAGCCTGGAACCAGTTCCTCCGGCAGCTGCAGCCAGAGTTCCATTAGGGAGAAAGGGACCGCGTCTCCAGAGTCACCGTAACTCAGAGCTCCTGGGCATGTTCACTCTGAACCTGACAGTGACTCTGGAGGAAGAGGTAGGCGGAGAAACAAGAGACTGACAGCCGCCCCTCCCAGGGGTGCAGAATTGACAGCCTGGGGCAGTCCGTTGGTGCAGACCCACTGCTGCGGGCCCTAGCAGCCAGTCCACCTGACATTTTCAGGGGGTCTGTAAAGTGCCATGAGCAATACTGAGGGGGTGGGGGGCCAACAGCAGCCTGAAAAGAGCAGGGAGTCCAAAGACAGCCGATCCCAACTCCTGGGACCTGGGGGAAGCCGGCTGCACCCGCCCCCGCCCAGGTGGGCGCCCTGTGCTCTCCCGGCCCCGCTCCCCACGAGCCCCTCCTCCCTCACACCCTCCTGCCCTGGGTCTCCCCCTTCCCACCGCCGGTGCCCGCGCCCAGGTCCTCGGGCCAGTACTGGTCCTCCATGTACTGCTCCATGTCCGTGCTGCTGTCAGGCTCCCTGTCCTCGGGGCGGGCGCAGCGGCCGGCCTCCTGCCGCTCCCACTGCACCTCCACTAGCCGGTACAGCTCCATGGCCGTTGCGGCATCTTCCACCGACGAGTGCCCGTGCTGGCCCACCTGTGGACGGGAGCCCCAGTCACTGCCGCACCCCAGGGCGAGGCCCGTCACACCAGGCTCTGGGTACAGGCCCAAGACCCTGCACTGCCAGAACCGGGGTGTCCCGCTTGGTACAGTGAGGGCGGCATGGGTCTTCTCGGCAGGAAAGGGCTGAAAGCTCAGCCATAGCACAAGCTGTCTAGCCTGCTCCTCAAACATGAAGCAGGATAAAAACCACTGCCTCCAAAGGCTTGAGGAGCAGATGGAACAACGAAGGTGAAGGACAGCAGGAGCAGGAGCAGGAGCTCCCAGCAGCCTGACCGAGGAAGGCTCCGTACAGGCTGCAAGTGCAGGCGCAGAGCCTGCACTGGGTGGGGGCCTGGGAGAGATCAGCCTGAGAGAATGTGCCCCCGGGGAGAGGAGGAGGCTGCAAAGAGACGTCCAGGCTGTGTGGACGTGGGAGACCCAACTGGATGGGCTGAAGGAAAGACAAGCAGCTGGAGGCGCAGCCATACTTCCCTGCCCGTGGCCTCCTGGCTCGGAGGCTAGGCCCTCTCGCTCCCCGCACGCACCTGGATCTTCTTGTGCAGCAGCTGCAGGGCCAGGTCCTTGAGAGAGACCCGGGTCCGGGTGTGGAGACCAGGCTGGCTCAGGAGGTTGGGGACGTACGTGGTGTCCCGCGTCTGGCTCCGAGGGTGGACGTACTTGAGGGCCTTGAAGTCGTTGTGCAGGGCGTGCCCCACCACCACCTTGCCCTTCAGGAGCTTGAGGATCTGTGAGCAGAGAAGGCAGTCAGGGAGTTCCCACTGGCAGGCGGGCCCAAGACCAGTGGGCGCACAGATCCCCATGGATGGAGGCGGCCCGGCGACGGGAGACCGCGAGCTCCAGCCAGCCACGCTGCCTGTGCTGGAGTCCAGACCCTTCTGCTCACTCCTTAAGTCAACCAGGGGCACAGTGAAACTCTCCGAACCCGTAAAGCAGGAATGCTGCCAATATCATTCCGTGGGTGGTGGTTGGCATTGAAGTCACTCACGCCTGGGAGAGGGTCTCCTAGTAACTCAATGTGAGTTCTTTCTGGCTGCATAGGCCGTCTCTCAGCCTGAAGACCTCACCAGCCCTCCCGCCCCATCGACTCTTCCCCCAACTCCCACGAGGCAGGTCTCAGCTCACGTGTCAAGAGGCCACCCCACGGCCCCCTCTTGGCATTAAGACTCCTGTCCTGTCCTGCAGGGGATCCATGGCACTAAGTACACATTTAGCTGTGGAAGGTCTACTTCCCCTCACTGTAAGCGCACTGTAAACTTGCAGGGACCATGTCTGACTTGACAGGTGACGTGCCATGAAAACTCCGCACACAGGAGGGGACCACTGGGTAAAGTGCAGAGCTGTGCCTGGCACTGGAGACAGACCTTTCATGGCCCCGTGCACACAGTCTGTCTTCAGGATCCTGTCCCTCTGCCCCACTGCGTACAGGACCCTGCTGCCTTGTTTCAGCTCTGGCCACCTGTGCAAGGTGCACCTCTTTTCCCTGCCTCCCACCGTCCTCAGGCTCCAGAGCGGTCACGTCCAGGGCCACAGGCCTGCAACCCCTCCGGCCCTCTTTGCTGGCTTGGCGCTCCGTGTTGCCAGCTGCCAGCCTCCCACAGCCTGCCCCTGCGGAAGCACGTGCCCTGTCGCTAAACTTGGCTTTCCCAGCAGGTAGATAAGGTGCACTGAGGCTTCAGTGATAAGGACATGCCACAACTCTAGTCACACCACTCTAGTCATGTGAAAAATAAGGACGCAGATGCTGCATGCCCATATTTACCAAATTTACCTAGACCCAAGAATAACCCGGAAACATTAATAAGTTCTGCTATAATGCTTGTTTTTAAAATGCAGACATTCCAATACACTCAATGTGTTAGAACATGATTTGAGAATAGTGCATGATTTCGCCATTGAGAAATGCTAAGTGAATGAAGAAAACCACACGCAGGGGAACTGAGCCAGGTGGGAATGCACAAAACGCGCACCCCTCAAACCTCCTAGGGAGCTCCGTTCACCTGTGTGAGCGGCCACGGCCACCCTCACCTGCTGTCCCCACTTTCTATCTGATTTCAGGTAACTTCTTGGACCCCTTCACTGCAATCCTTCTGACATCTACTTCCACGAGAGAAGCTTCAGGTCTTTTCAAGGTAAAGTGCCATTCTTATTGGTGTATTTATGCATTGCTTAACCATTTAACAAGTGCAAAACTGTGGAACCAGTTACTAGGTTGCCATCCTTTTATTTTGGAGGTGTCACTATGATGTTTCTTGAGTGTTGTGTTCCTAACCCATTTCCCCATAAGCTCTGAGGTTCTCATTGTGCAAGTTTGCAGTTTGATGATTTTTAGGCGCGTATACACCAGTGCCTCCGCAGGCCTAGGGACTTAAGGAATCAGAACATGGAGGGAACTCGGGACCTAAGATTAACAAGGCTTGAGATGTTTCTTATGCTAAAGCACCTTTGGGGATCCCCCAACCATGAATTAGTTTTTTCTCAAAGGCCTGAAAACTAACATAGGGAAATATACCAAAATATTAACACCTGAAGGTGATAGCACTGTGGGCCTTACAGATTTTGTACAGAGATGTTATACTTTTGTATCGGAAAATGTAAAATGTAAGCTGTTCCACACCTGGCAGCTGGCACAGCCTTCCCATAGACATGACCAGGAGTGACGCCCCAGCAGCCCTTCTGTGCATGCGGGGCAGGGTTGCACCCCCCTCTCTGTGGAGAAGGGATCCAGTGTTTGGAGAAGTTAAGTAACTGTCCCAAGGTCTCTCGCTTCCAGTGGCTAAGCAGTGACCCAGACCCAGGGCTGCTCTTTGCACCCTGTCACGCCAACCCAAACAGCTCCCCGCCCGCCCTCACCTCTTTCTGGGCCACCTGGAAGGGGATGGCCTTGCTCATGTGCTGCCGAGTGATGCCGCTCCAGCGAGTGCGGTAGTCCACGATGGGCATCTCAGGCCGGATGTACTTGTCGTAGAGGACGTCACCGTGGTAACTCACCACAGAGCAGCGGGCCAGCTCACTCACCCGCCCTCGGGGTCCCGTGCCCACCATCTCACAGTCGATAGCCACGCACTTGCTGGGCCAGGGCCCAGCACATTCCCTGGGGGTGGACTTTCCGCTGCCCGGGGCACCTCCGGATCCATCCCTGGGATGCTGCCTCCCACGGCCGGCAGCCTCAGTGCCCGGCGGTGCCCCCCATGGCACGGGCGGTGGGGAGGATGCTGGCTCTGGGGGTGCGCTCCGCAGCCCCTGCTCCTGCAGCAAGGCCTTCCGGGCCATGAACCGCTGGTGCTGTCGGCTCTTTCGCTTGTGTTTTCTCCGAAGCACATCCTTGGCATTCGGGCCAGCCAGCGAAGGGCACAGGCACTGGGCAGACTCAGGGGCTTCCCCAGGTACCATCCCAATCTGCTCACCTCTCAGGGCGAAGGAGGCCTGGGAGGTAATCTTCCGACGTTGCAGCACCCTGGAGAGAGGACACACAGGGCCCAGGAGTTGGATGGGGACTGGGGACAGGCCAGCTCGGCCTCCCCACTCCCCCCTGTGGTGAGCACCCCCCCTGCCCCCCTGCCCCACAGCCGGTGCTATGTCTCGGGCTCCTGGACTGGGCCGAGGACCTGTTTTAATGATAATTGACCTCATATAGTCAATACCACATGCAAACTGCTGCCCTAAGTACTTCCCATGGAATCAATCTTCCGACAACCCAAACAAAGCATTACCCTCATGTCACAGGTGAGAGAACTGGGGCATAGAGGTTCGTTACTTGCTCAGTTAACAAGAGACAAAAGCCAGACTGCGGGGCCTACAGAGCTGGGGGTGACTGTGGACTCAGGGCACTCCTGGCTTGGCGGGGAGAGGTGGTCAGAACCTCACTCTGGGTGGGCGCCGTGGACTAGGGGCAGGTGCTCGACTCCCCACGTCAGGTACTGGAACAGGCAGAAACGCCTGGTTAGGGAAGGCCTGGCAGTCGAGGAGACACTTGGACAGGTTTCAGGAAGGTCTGCCAAGGACCCAGGGAGGGAAGGGCATCCAGGCAGAGAAAACGCTGACACAGGGTCCAGGAGGCAAAACACAGCATAGAGGGAGGGGAAGGGGTTTGGTACAGCAATGGGGAAGTGCGGAGGCAGAGGTGAGGGGACGGGTGGACAGCGAGAGAGAACCGCTCCTGGAGGCTGGTCCACGTCTGGGCTTAACCCACAGACTGACCCGGAACCACCACTCACCCTAGGCCGAGGGGCAGGGGACAGGATCACTGCCATCCAGAAGGTAAGAGTCTGAGCGATGGCAGCGGAGATGAAGAGAAATGGGAGGAAGGGTGCAGGTCAGGAACGCTTTGGGGATGCCTGGGCCAGGGCAAGGCAGTGACCCAACCTGACTCATCCCCCCTCTTTGCTCACCCCTTACTTCCCTGAGGGGTCTTCTCCCTTTTAAAAGGACTCTTAACTACATCAGCTTCCTCATGTTGACAAGTCACAGAGCGGAGCCTGCAGACGCAGGGCCTTACTCAGTTTGCCTCAGCCCAGCAATGGGGACAAGGAGGCCCAGGAAGCCCGAGACTGAGGCTGCTGGTAACGGGCCTCTGAGGAGGAGAGGGCTGAGGGCCCCGCAGGTCAGCCTGAGGTAGGGACTGGGGTCGCTGGCCGCCCTGACCCTGTTGGTAGCGTTTCAGAGAAACCAGAAAAGGTCTCAGGGGCCTTGTGTTTCAAGAGGGAGGCAGCCTTGACCAGGCTGCTCAGCGGGTTGGAGCACTGCTGTCTGATGCCAGAAAGCTGCAGGTTAGATGCCCCGTCTGGGTGCATATGGGAGGCAAAGGGTTGACCCTTCTCTTGCATCAATGTTCCTCTCGCTCCTCTTTCTAAAAGCAATGGGGCGGGGTAGGGGGTGGGGAGGGTCCTCAGATGTAGACTTAAAAAAAAAAAAAAATGAAAGCAGCCCTGTTCTACCTGCCTGACCTGGCTATTAATGAGCATGAGCGCGCCTCCTCCCCCCTCCCCCGGCCCCCCAGGTGAGCACAGCGAGGCTGGGGAGACATTTCGCTGAAATAACACCTCCGCTGTGATAAGAACAGACACCGATCTCTCTCCAGCCCCGCCCGACCCGGGGCTTTGCGCACCGGCAGCCACCGGGGCCCAGCAGCAGTGTCCTCAGAGCAGTGTCCCCACTGAGTCAGAATCGCCAGTGGCATCAGGGCCTCCCACCTGCTGGCTGATCAGGGCTCTGTCACTAAAGAGCGACAGGCACGCACGGCACCAGGTCGCCTTCTCCTCCCCATAAAACGAGGGTTGGTTTATTAATCCGAGAGTCCAACTAGGTTAGGGACGTCCCCAAGGCAGTTCGTTACCCGAAACCATTACGATGTCGGTTGAAAGCGCTTAGACGGTTTAAAACGATTTCCAGACGTATCCCCCGCACCTTCTTAACCGTCATTTTGGGGAAGGGGAGGGGAGGATTTGTATATTAAGACCGCAAGACCACACCCCCAAGACAAAACACTACTAATCGCTCCAATTTGAGAAAACCTGGTTGGGTAAGATCCCCTGCGCTACTAAAAAGTTTGCGGGACAAGGAAGTCCGAGGACAGCCCAGCACGGCCTCCGCAACAGCCGCGTCATAGGAGTGACGCGTGGGAGGCCTGACCGCACCCAGGGAAGGACTCGGCGTTGCTCACTCAATGGCCGCGGCGGTCCGGCCCCAGCCAGGCCGAGGCCCATCGCCCATCGCCCACCACCCATCGCCGTCCCCTTAGGCCCGAGACCCCCGATTAGGGCGGGGACGCGGGACAGGCGGCGCCCCAGGCCCGGCCTACACACCCGCGGGCCCCGAGAACCGGTCGGCCAGGTCCGAGCGTCCCCCGCCGCAGGCTGGGGGTGGACACACGCACGGGGCACCGCGAGCAGGGACACTCCGCGCCGGCCCCCTCGACCCCCGCTGTCCCTAGCGGGGTCCCCGTGATCACCTGAAGCCCGGACGCTTCTCCACCCGCCGGCACGTGGCGTCCAGGCAGCCGGTAGTTCCCACTTGCCCGGGCAAGCCCCGTCCGGCCGCCTGCCTATTGGTTCGCTGAAAGGCGGCACCTGCCTAAGCCCTCTTCTGATTGGCTTTCTGGGAGAGCCTGGCTCTCGGTGGGTTGGCGCGCGGCAGCAGGAGGGGCGGGGATGCATAAAGGGGCGTGGTTTGCACCGCCCGCCGGTGGAGCCCGCGGGAAACTTTAAAAGAATCCAGGGCAAAGAGTGGCCTCCTCTCGCCTGGGTTCAGCTCCCATCTGTGTCCCCCGGCTCCAGTGCACCCCACTCCCTGGGTCATGACGTGGGCTCCTTTGAACCTTGTGCTATCAGAGGCAGAATGACTTAGAGAGTTCACACCCTTACCTCGGTTTTCGTGAGCATTCAGTGAAATAATATACAAGATGGGCACTTCAGAAAGATTTTTAAAGTTAGGTTTGCTCCTTTGGTGCTATTTTTTTTTAAAATTATCCTTTTGTAGTACTTTACTCATAAGTATTAAATTCCTACTATGGGCCGAACACTGGGATACACAGAATAGGCACGCCTCTGGCTGGTTGCTCTGATCTGGAGCAGTAATAGAATGGTTAACAGATGATCTCATGCAACCTGAATAACAATGAGAATAATGAACAGTTCACATTTATTGTGAGCACTAACTGTGTGCCAGGCAACACATTAGATATGCACTATTATTATTTCTGGTTTAAGCTAAGGAAACTGACACTTAAAGAAATTAAAGGAGAAACAGCTGGTGCCCAAACAAAGACCGTTAAGGAAGCAGCCAGACTCCTCGTAGCTGCATTTTGCAAGCAGGGAGGTCATAGCAAATGTACTCAACTTAGAGGTCAAGGGTACATGTGTCAAGGAACGTGGTATTTTTGACCAGAATATAGATGTGAGGGAAGTGGGACAAAGGATAAGGCCATTAGAAGGGTAAATCTTTCCACTCAGATGCTGCAGGCTTTGCCGGACCAGGTGTAGACATGAAGGGGAATGTGGTTCTGGTCATCTTTTGTTTAGAGCAGCGGTTCTCTGAGTGTGGCCCCAGACCAGAAGCCTAGGCATCACCTGGGAATTGGTTGGAGCTACTGACTCAGAAATTCGGGGTGAGGGAGTGAGGGGAAGCAGCAATCTGTTTGACTCAACTGGTTGACAGTTTCCTGATGCATGCTCAAGTTTAAGATTCCTTTTTGAGAGGGTATGAAGCTGACAAAACTCTGGGGGCCAAATGCAAATAATTCATTCATTTTATTCAGATTGCCTCTCTGTTCGCACTCCTGATCCAACAGTAATTTTGCACCTACCTGGGTACAGCCTTCCCCAAGACACTTGTTGTACCTTTACACTTTCCCTCAACCTCTGAGATTTTCCAGGGCTCTTAGACCCAGGTTATGTCTCACATGACATGACTGATATTTTTAATGGAAAAAATTGGAAGGATTTGATTCCGGGGAATTTTATTTTCCACTCATGCTTGTTCCATTGTAAGCTAGTTTCTTCACACATAAAATTAATCCTTAAATCTGTGGCTCAATCTCGCCTGAACATAGGGATCACCCGAGGAGCTTTAGGAATGCTGACGCTTGAGTTACACCCCAAGATCCTGATTTACCTGGTCTGGGGCGGGGCCTGAACAGGAGGATTGTTAAAGCTCAGTAAGTGATCTTGTTTGTCGCCAAGGTCAGAAATCGTCACTGAAGCGCCGTTACCTAGAAAGTCCACCAGAGAGCGCTGTTTCCTTGCTCTTCCGGGGAAGTGGGCGCCGGCGTGGAAACCTTACTGCCGGCTGTACAAACCGAGCCCATGAAGTTAATGCAGGGAGACCCAGGTGTCCTGACCCCTGGCTTACCAACCCTTTGGTGTTGTGAGACTGTCTATTCTGCTGAGTGTCGTAGAGATAGGCAACACAACCTCTCTAAACTTTGATTTCTGCGTTTTTAAATTGGGGGAAGAGGAGGGCTTGGCGTACATTCACTTTTTTTAAAAAAATATACATCGAGTCTCATGAGATGGACAAGATGCTGACCCGGGGAGGGAAAAGATAAATTTTCAAATGGGATAAAATGCCTCCATTATAGGGGATACTAATAGAGAGATGGTGATTGTCATTCATTACTACTTCATGGAAGGGGTCGTGCTGGTGGCTTGGGTAAGGGGAGAGAAAAACCATAAAAGAGGAGACAGAGACTGTTATTGGGTGCTCACCTATGTCATTATGTTTATGGATCTTCTCTTGCTTAATTACCATAACAGCTAGCAGGCTAGGTGTGATAAATTCCATTTTACAAGTTTGGAATCTGAGGCTCAGAGATGTTACGTGACTGGCCAGAAGCCACGCAGCCAGTCAGCGGTGGAGCCAGGACTGGAACTGGCATGAGTCTGACTTCAAAGCCAGGACTCCTGCTCCCCCAGCTAAGTGCCCAGCTTCCTGATGTACATCCTGCTACCTATCAAGAGGGGCTCTCTTATGCAGCTCTCCAATCAGCAGAGCGCCCCAATTCCCGTCCCAGATGCTTCCCTGAGGAAGGATCGCCCCCGCTTTTGTCTCTGCAGCAACCCTGGGTGCTGAGGGACGCCTGGAAGAGACTTCCCTTCTCTCCTCTTCCCCTCCTGCCCATCCAGGCCCCTCTCCTCCAGGGAAGGGCAGACACCCGCTGAGTCACACCAATTTGCAGCCTTCCCAAGTGTGAATGAGATTTCTAATAGGACCAGCTGCCTACTGGCTTCAGGCAGGGTTAGGAGTAAAGAGGAAATTTAAGAGGCAGGAAATGGGGAAGATAGAGAGCCAGTCTGAAGGAGCTGAAGGAGTCACTGTAGCAGGCAGTGACAGCAGCGGCCTCTGGGTGGGTTTGATGCAGAGGTGAAGTGCCCGGTTGAAAGTCACCCAGCTGACCCGTCGTAGAGGTTACTGAGCTCAGCTAATGGTTGAACTTCTAGGTTTCCTAAAGGAATACAACTCTCAACCCAATTTATTTTATAAGATGCTTTTAAGTTTGTTTGTTTGGGGTTTTTTGGGGTTTTTTTTTTTTGGTTTTTTTTTTTTTTGCATCTTCTAACATTTTTATTTTATTGATGGATTGATGGGTGCCTTAGTGTTCTGAAGGAAAGACTGTGTCATGTCTGAGCCTTCTCTGCCTCCGACCAGCCCTTCCCTTCTCTGGCCTGTGGGGCCCTGGGGTGCGTAGCGCCTGTTGGGTGTCAGGCGGAGGAGAAAAGACACCTGAAAAGGAGTGAAGAGGGCGTTTGAGTTTGTTGCTCGAAAAATGTATCCCCGTCGAGGGCCTCATCATGGGGCCTTGGTGACCACCTTGGGGCAAGGTGACCCCAATGGTGGCACGGGGAAGGCTGGGAAATGGTGCTTATCATCCGGGCCTCCACTACAGTGGGGAGCACAATTAGGGGACTAGGCTTCCCCACCCGTGATTTTCCCTGCTGACACCTCAGGGCCCTGCCGCACTGAGGCAGATTCTGGAGCCACGATGCCCCACGCACACCGGTCCGCTCGCAGCCCTGGGGAGGCACCAGGCGGGCTCCAGGGCAGGGGGGTCCTCTCTGTTGCTGCCGAGGCACCTGGCATCGTTGGCCCATCAGTCACGAGCACATGGTCCTTTATGCCCGCTCACTCCGAGGGTGTCTCCTGCCGAACACAACCGGACCGCTGGATCGTGAGCCCCTGAATGCCGGGCCAAAGGGGACCTCAAACTGTGGGTGCCAGACACAAAACAGCTGTCGGGAGATCCGTGAGTCACTGAGGGATCTCTCCCTGTCCTTCTGGTGGTGGTGCGGTAACAGCCCTGGGTCCCAAGGCCAGAGACCCTGCCTCACCGCCACCCTCACCCCACCCAAGGCTCTCCATTCACACCACCGGCTGTCCTTGTTTCTGGAAGACTCCACCTGGGGCGTGCTGCCCAGGGGTGCCCAGGGTGGTTTCCAGAGGTGTTTTCTAGGAGAGAGAGGAGGACCCGAAAAGAGCACAGGGCGGGAGAGCCAGAAAGGCCAGGCGCCCACCCCACCCCGCTGCAGGGGCCCGCACCATGCGGCAGACTGGGACTTGTTGTTGAGCAGTGGGACAACAACAAAATCACTAGTCTTCCAGATGGGGCTGGCCGTCCGTGTCCGCATCGCCGCCTCGCTGCCTTGGGGACCTGGGGCCACCCACTGGGTCAGCCGGCCCGTGGCCCCCACCACCAAGTTCAACTTCTCCCACCGCCCCCCCCCCCCCCCCCGAATCTCCTACTCTCCCGGGGCAGGGAACAAAGGAAGAGCCCCAGGCGAACCCTCTCTACCAGGTCCCCCACCCTCCCCACCAGCAAGTCAGGGCCCAGGGTGCAACCCCTCCCAGGGCTTCCTGGCCCACGGCTCTGCGTGGAGAAGGGGTGCTGGGGCAGCGGAAATGGCCACGGGCAGGGGCAGGGGTGGAATCCTGTCCCGAGCCCCCAGTGCCCCAGGCCCAGCGCGGGGCTCCCGGGTTAATTTCCCCTTCCCCAGCCCAGGGCGCTGATGGAGGAGAGGCAAGGCCCCTGGCCTGGGCCAGCCTCTAATTGCACTGCCAGGGCATATCCGCTTCTTAATTAGCAAAAGCCACAATATCCTGGTGGCTCCGAGAGCATGGCCCTAATTGTGTTTCGGCAGCAGCTGAAGGATAATTACCCTCCCCTATTGGTGCTGCTTTCGGTTTTTTCTCTTTTTAATTGAAAACTCTTCCTCCGTGGCCCAGCCCTCCAGCCTCTGTTTGTTCTCTCCATCCAGAGTGGGTAAGGGCTTGCCTGGAGACTAGGGGGGACAGGGAGACAGTACCAGCCCCTTTCAGCTGTCAGCCCTAGACAGCGGGCAAGAAAGCCCAGTTCTCTGGAGGACGCAGGGGAGAAGCGTTCTCCCTCCTCTTCCAGGTGGGCTGCTAGCTCTTCAGCTCTAAGCTGCAGGGAGATGAGAGCCCCCCACCCCACCCCGCTGCCAGCTAACCGAGGGAGGGGGCAGGAATTTATTGTCTTTTATTTCTTTGAAAACAAAAAG